GTACTTTCCTTTGGCTTTAGAATATTCTTTGTATTGGTCGCGAGGTATACCACGGTTCTTTCGCTCTGGAAGTTGGTATATGGGAGTATTTACGTCTCTTATGTCTCTTATGTGAATCTCATATGAAATTAAATCATCATGAGGAAATTCATTAGTATTATTAGTTTCAGGGGAAGATGTTACCTAAATGACATCATCGGAAGGCGATTGCATATTTTGGATTACTGATTGCATTAGCATTATTGCTTCTCTAGCTTTATAGTACTATTTCTTGTTTGGACATAATATCACATGAGATAATAGTAGATTGTGGGAATGATACTTCAATTCCAGAAGAACCTACTCATCTTGAATCTCAAATAGCTTACCCTAAAGGAGCGTACGGTTCCACTTCATTAGGTAAGCTCTTTTATTTTTTTAGCAATGCAATATTTGATGTTTGACAATGTGTGTTTAATTATATATTACTTTAAGAAAAACAAGCTTATGTTAGATATCTCATTGGAAAAAAATATATTAGCCCACCCCTATAAAAAAAAATTTTGATTTCGTCCTCTAGGCTAGAACCGACCGCTCTCGTACCATGCTAAGAATTATATAATTTGAATATTTGGATTATTTTATTCTCCTTCATAAAGATGAATATATAGGACTTTACAAGAAAATAGATACGAGAAATATCTCATAATAATATAGGGATATGTCAACTAAACTGAATGAGAAATAAACCATCTTTTTTTTTAGCGAAAGAAAAAAACTATCTAAACTTAAAAAATAAATCTCTTTGATTGCCCTAATTAACTCACGTCAACAAGCATCAAATCAAATATACAAGTATACAAACATCCCCAATTCCCTAATCTCTTCACAATTTGTTATTAACCTAAAATCCAAAACAAATTTGAACCCAACGACTCTAAAAAACAACTTCGATACCAAACCCGCAACCCGACCCATGTCGGGTCGCCTGTCCGCATCCAACGCCACCTCCATCAGTAACGAGTCCTTCAACCTAGAATCGACCCACCGCCGCCGCCGCTACTCACCCTCATATACCCTCCACCGACGCCATTTCCATCAATCATGTACTTCAATGGCTAGCTTATGGCTCCTCCCCATGAAATCAGCTCCAACAGCACAACCCCAGAGCGAGCCTATACGCCTCTGCAACATCCGAGCTGCCATGCTCGATTTCTTAAGCTTTGGCGGTTCGAAGTCGGTTATGTAAACGGTATTACGTAGACAATACCAGCAGACTACGTACAGAGAGCCCTCCAAGTTTATATTATAAATTATTGGGGTGCCCTCCGAGTTCTAGGCTAATATTGTCATTTGAAAATCAGAAGCCTAATATAAATATTCAAACGGAAACACAATCTGCTTTTGTATTATTAGGCTTCCTTCTGGTGTGCGCTGAATAATTAAGTGGCAAACTCATGACATATGCTTGAATTTGAATACTCGTATGGATGACAATTGAATAGCTTAAACAAGTTTTCTATCAGCCGCAGCCATTAATTATTAATTATTATCCACTTTCCTGAGTCATAATGGAATTTATATTTTTGCTCTCACTATCTAAGGAGGTATATTTTTCCACAAATACCCGAGACCGAAGACTTGACTGATTGTAGTTCTTGATAGCGAAGAGAATGATCCTTGCCAACTCAACCAACTTTCGTTGGCTTTGTATAGTTTTATTTTGTAATCGAAGCAACATAAATTTTCTCAAAATTTTAATTTTTTTATAGATGAATATCTCTAATTCATGGATTGCATAAACTTACCAGACAATGATTATGTTTGGCTTCGTTTATTAACTAAACTCATAACCTATTCTAATCTTAAGCACTCTTCCCAGATTCCAATATTAATCATTCTAAATTAACCTAACTCTTAACCTATTCTAATCTTAATCCTCCTTCCCGCCGCCGATATACCGAAATTTCAAGAGAAGAACATAAAAGAAAAACATTTCAAGATAAAATTTGTGTAACTTGTGGTGTTTCTATTCTCAGTCAGTTTGTTTGAGCTTAATGAATGATTTTTGTATGTGAAATTATTCACATCATCAAATCAAATATACAAGTATACAGCATCCCCCCCAATCCCACGAGCTCCCTCTCCTCTTCACAATTTGTGATCAACCTAAAAATATCAAAAAACCGAAACTCCAAAACAAAATTGAACCCGAAAAACCAATTAGCAATATCATCGGGGGCCCAATGTAATTGACATGTCAATGGGCACGCCCATTTTCTCAGCCCAACTCTGAGACTCCAAAAACAGCTTCGATACCAAACCCGCAACCCGATCCATATCCGGTCGCCTGTCCGGATATTCCGCCACGCACTCCAACGCCAACATCACCATCTTCTCCGCCACGTCCATCGGAAACGAGTCCTTCAACCTCCGATCCACCCACCTCCTCACCCCGCCGCAGCCGATCCTCATCGCCTCTCTCGCCGTCTCGATCGCACTCACCCTCCTATACACTCCGTCCCCGCCATTGTCATCCATCATGTACTTCAATGGCTCCTCCCCTGAAATCAGCTCCAGCAGCACAACTCCGAAGGCATAGACATCGCACTTCTGCGTCACGCTCCCGCTGAGCTGAAACTCGGGCGCCATGTACCCTCTGGTGCCCTCCACCTTCGTTGACCGAGCGTGGTTCTCGCCGCAGAGCTCCGCGGTGCCGAAATGGCAGATCTTGGCATTGAGCACGACGTGTTCCTGGTCGGAGATGATGATGCTGGAGCTTTTGATGTGGTTGTGGACGAAGGTGGAGTTGAGGCCGAAGCAGTGGTGGATGTAATCGAGGCCGTGGGCGAGGTCGGTGGCGACCTGCATCCGGGAGAGCCACGTGGGCAAAACGGTGTAATTCGGGTTCTTAGGGTTCCGTAGGCAATCGGCGAGGGTGGCGCCGGCGACGAATTCGTAGACGAGGTAGACGTAGCCGCCTGAGAGGGCGGCGCCGAGGAGCTTGATGATGCTGGTGTGGTTGGATTTGGAGATTTGGGCGAGGCGGTGTTGGAGGTCGGCGAGGGAGATGGGGAGGCGGGACTTGCGCTGGAAAACGACGGCGTCTTTGCCGCGGAGGGAGCAGCGCCAGGAGGAGGATGTGGAGGAGGAGGAAAGGCGGCGGGCGAGGAAGTTGTCGGTGGAGGAGCGGATTTCAGACATGTCGTAGATGATGAGGTTTTCGGGGAGGGAAGATTTGAGGGACTTGAGGGAGGCGATGGAGGAGGTGGAGGACTTGGAGAAGTTGTAGCTGGAGTTGTTCTCGTTGGCGCTGAAAGTGGTGGAGTAGGGGTCTGCTGCAGTAAAGGAGGAGGATTTTGGGGTTCGGGGTTTGTTGGGGTTCTTGGGCTCCATCGCCTGCGTGCTCTTTTTAGTCCAGCACATCAGGACGAAGGGGTTGACGGTGACGGTGGTGGTGGTGGCGGCAACGGCGTCATATCATAGCAGAATTGGGATTTTCGGATTAAATGTTGCGCTGGATTTGTTCAAATGTATAAAAATAGGATGTGATGAATAAATGAGAGAGCCATTTCGCTTAGTCAGGTACTCGATCACAATATATGAGTTGCGTCCTTGTCAATATTGTGATCGAGTACCTGACTAAGGGGAAATACGAAAGCGATTGAAGAAGAAGAAGACCAACCACTTTGTCATTCCGTGATATTTTATTATTGATTGGAAAACAAAAAATAGATATTATAAATTATTCGAAACTACAAGCTTACTTTATGTGACCAATTGAGAGACGACAATAAAATCTTTATAACAAAGAAAGATGTTGGCATATGGTTGGGTTTTTGATGCCCCTTTTTCTACTTCCTAATTATTGGTTCTCCTGTATATTCGCTATATTGTTAATAATGCGAACAACCCTTAACTTACGATGAACTAGCATTTGATTTAGTGGTATTTATCTTAATTTGCACGAAGGTCTCAAACTTAACTCGCATAAATACTCGCGACGATATATATTGTTGATCAGTTTAATAATTCGTTTTTAGAGCAACAAAAACAAGTACAAATAAGAGAAGTTAGAACTAAGATTAAAGGAGGGTGTGTTTATAAAATAAAATAAAAATACTATGTGGTCAAAAATTGGTAGGGGGCGATGAGCATATTTTGAGAGGACTCTTCACCCACGCAACGTGGCGATATCTTATGTGACGCGGCTCAAATCCCGCATGCCACTTAGTATTTAGCTTACTTTCTGGTCTTTGCAGCAGCCAAAGGGGTTTTATTTATGTTGGTCAAATCCAAATGAATCCTAAATTCATTATTATGTCTGCGGGTGAGGGATGAAATAATTTGATTAACAAGCACCACATTCGGGTCAAGATTCAAGCCTGAGAACAATAAGCAGACTTTTTTGTTACTATTTTTATTATTCTCTAATTTATTTATTTTTTTTAAAGGCAGAAGAAACTGACCTTCACCATACCGTTGCCAGTGCCGCATCTCGTGTTTGCGCAGCTGAAATATGTATTAAATATGTACAAAAACAGAAAAAGAAAAAAAATTAACGATTTGTAGCTTAAGTAATTAGAAGCATTTTCGATTCTCCCTCCTCGATATCGCTTTTATCCAAAAAATAGAAAAGGATTTGACTTGCTAAAAGAAAGAAGAGGATTGATAGATAGATAAGATAAGATAAAATAAAATATCTGTTTTACTCAGATATTCTTTCGACCATTATAATTTTTACAATGAATCCCAGCAAGCACGCAAAGGGTGGGAAGAAATATCCCATAAACTTTGGCGTCGACCACACGAGCCAAAATCATAGGCCTAAATTGCAACATAATACACGGAGAAACGAGGAAAAGAAAAAGGAAGAAACAATCTAGGCCTAGGCCTAGCCATCCACATTTTCTTCCATTTCCTTTCCTGAGGTCTGAATCCAAAGAAAAAGGCATGGAAATTACCTAAGCTAGAGCTAGAGCTACATCTAGAGCTAGAGTAAGGCGTTAACATAAGCACTGAGAGCATCACCAGTGAGCCTGCAAATCCTCCACTCCTGCAACATCTTAGCTCCCATTTCCTCATAAAACCTGATGGCATTCACATTCCAGTCAAGCAAAAGCCAATCCAATTTCCCATACCCCATCTTCACAGCCTGCTTAGACTTCTTTGAAGTCGGCAACACGAGCCAAAATAATTAAAAGGGCAAAAAAGGGAGGGGGCAGTGGGAGAAAGTCTCTCTTTTCTTTCCGTTGATCAAAGTTTGCGCCCCTCTTCTTCTCTTTTTTTCCTTTTTCTGGAATGAAGTTTGGGTCTTTTCACTTACTTTGATCCTCACGAAAGAAGAAGAGAATTCTCAAGAAGGTTCTAGCTACTAATAAAGGAATATTAGAACTCCAAATATGAGAATTTTCATTTATGGCTCAACTTATGGCAAAAAGGCAAAATCAACAACAACTCAAACGAGTTGAAGCAAATAATACAACATAAAACTAATTATTCCTTTCTGTAATCAAAAGTAATTCCTCTCTGCCATAATAATATTACATAGTAATCATGTGTGCATTATCTAACTAAGGAGGCTTAAACCATACAAGCTTATCGAATTCATGCATGCGACTTACAAACCTTCATGAATTGATAATACAGTTGTTACCTAACTTCATTAGAAAATCACTTGTGCACAAATTACTCAAAACACAGATTCATCCCACCAATTATTTCACTAACAATGCTATTCCATACATCAACGGATTTATCACACAGTGAACAAAACCTAATACATAATTCAATTAAAATGCCACTACCAAAATACATAATTCAACTAAAATGCCACAACCAAAATACATAGTTCAACAAAAATACCAAAAATCAAATTCAATTGAGGCTACTTAATAGACAAAGTTCAACCAAAACACCACAACCAAAGAAGTTTACTACTATATCATACATCATACATAATTCTCCCTCCTGGTCTAGTCCAGGTGTTGATGCTTGAGGTGTTGTGTGTTTCTGAATTTTTTTATGTTTGCCTCTCATTCATCTCTGCCATAATTCTCTCTGCCTTTTGATATAATCTTGGGTGGATAACATGCTTTTCGTTTAAAATCAGCAAATAAATTATACAATACTTTACATGTCTTTCAGCAAAATAATCTTGTTTTGATAGGATTTAAAAACTGAAGTGTTAATGGAGTGAGTGGCTGGGGAGAACAGCGCTAATAGAGAACAACCATGAACGTATGCAGACGCAAAATGTATACAACCAGCGCTAGTTAATAGATAGAGAATAACAATGAACAGATGCAAAACATATAAGAACATCGCTAGTATAGAGAACAACCATGAAATAGGAGCTCTTCTCAGATGTGTCTGTTCATCTTCTCCCAAAATAAAAACAAAGAACGTGAGAATCAGGCATAGGAGGGTGAGATTTTTTATGGGGTTTGGTATTTATATCACCTACTCAAAAGTACCACACAATACATCATTTAATGAAATACTTCAAAATCGGTAAGTTTTTGAATACCACGGTACTTTGTCTTATCTTTTAAAAGTCCTAATTGAATATCACCAGACTTGTATTTATGATTTAAAAATCCTAATTGAATACCACCAGATTTTTATTGATTACTTACAAATCCTAATTGAATACCACTGGATTTTTAAGCTGCAAAACAATCCATTAAAATCTCAATTGAATACAACCCCCTTACTTTGATCCTCACGAAAGAAGAAGAGAATTCTCAAGAAGGTTCTAGCTACTAATAAAGGAATATTAGAAGTCCAAATATGAGAATTTTCATTTATGGCTCAACTTATGGCAAAAAGGCAAAATCAACAACAAAAAAACCCACACAGAAACGAAAGAGCAAAGCAATTAAAAAACACAGTAGAACAAATCAAACAACAATGGCATACAGCAGAAGATTTCAGAGAGGTAAAAGGTGTAGCTGTGACATTGCTAGGAGAAACAACAAGGGTTCTACAAGACTGCCTCCTCTGTCATAATCTTCCTAGCCCACACATACATTTCCATCTCAACCCAGAAACAAACAGACAAGAAGAAAAAAGAAAATACACAAGAAGGAACAATCTAAGGCGAGCTAGCCTTCAACATTTTCTTCCATTTCATTTCATTTCCTGAATTCTAAATCCAAAGAAAAAGGTATGGAAATTACCTAAGCTAGAGCTAGAGCTAGGCATTAACATAAGCATTGAGAGCATCACCAGTGAGCCTGCAAATCCTCCACTCCTGCAAGATCTTAGCACCCATTTCCTCATAAAACCTGATAGCATTCACGTTCCAGTCAAGCACAACCCACTCCACTCTCCCATACCCCATCTTCACAGCCTGCTTAGCCACAGCTGAAAGGAGCATCTTCCCAAGCCCTTTCCTCCTGTAGCACTCCCTCACAAACAGGTCCTCTATGTAAAACCCAGGCTTCGACAGAAAAGTCGAGTAGTTTGGGAAAAACAACACGAATCCAGCAACGCAGGCATCGCCGCCAAGAACCCCACCGTTAGATCTGAACAAATCGCGGTCTGGGTCGTTAATCGGAAGGTCCAGATTGACGACTTTGGTGATGGGCGGGTAGGCTGGGTTGTTGTACTGAAGGTGTTCGACGAAAGGCGTGTGAGAGACTTCGAGAACGAAGATGGTGAAAGACTGGAAGGGTGGGGAGGTGAAGAGGGTCGAGGAGAGAGAGGCCTCGGTGGCGATGCAGTGTTCGGTGAGGCGTTCGAAGACGGCCATCTGGTGGATGAGCTTGTGGATGTGGGGGACGTCGGTTGGGAGGGCTAAGCGGATTCTGGCGAAGAGTGGGTGGCCCCTTGGGGTCGAGCCTTGGGGCACGTCGTTGGGTGCCTCTGGGGCTGGGCTTGGTGGCGGTGGCGGTGCGGCGGCGGCCATTGTTGGGTTTTGGGTTACGCTTGCTGTTTTCAGAGAAAGTTGATTGCGGTTTTCAGAGAGCTTGGGAAAATCGTACTGGTGATGAGTAGTGAGGACTGAGGAGAAGTGGGAACGGTTATTATAATGGAGTTCGTTGTGAGCAGGCTTTCAATCCTGCCCGCTAAACAGATCCAACGATCTTGCTCCCGCCACGTTAGAACAAATTCGTGTCTTTTAAGATAAGCATTCCAGAGATAAAGAGAAACTTTGCATAAATGAGATTAGAACATTCAATTTGGAATTTTATGTATTTCCTCCATTCATCTTTTACGTTAAATAATGGGTAATGATTTCTCCACTCCAATTTTATCCACTTACATTCCTTTTTAAGTTATAAAATGGAGTGTAAGTGGATAAAATTAAAGTGGGGAAATCACCACTCTAAATAATTTACTCATGACAATCAAAATAATTTTGTTTAGATGATATTTTAATTATATCTCGCGATTACGGTATATGAGAAACCTACTTCAAATTTAAACAGCAATCTAATCTTCATTATCGGATTCAATTTGGTCTAATGGCAAATTTGAACAGCCCTTGCCCCCCTTGCCTTTTGCAATAACAAATAGTTGGAAGTGTTCTTAGGTGTTGATCGTAAAAAATTTAGTTTATGTCATAATTGCACAAAGTTGGAAAAAGTTCAACACCGATTTTCCCTCTATAAACACATTGGATGATATTCACATTCTCTTCATTTAATCTTGTTTTCTCGAAAGAAAATTTATTGGTACGATGAAATAACAGTCGATCTTGAATTTTATGTTCCGGTTTTCTTGAGAGGTAGAATCAAAGTTTGCTTCATTATCCACCAATTTCGTGAGTCTTTTTCTAAAGGGGAAAGGGGAAAAGGGAAGAAGGAATAGACTTTGTTTTCTTTTATTTATATTTGTTTAGAAGTCTAAGCACAGATTCTTGCATCTCTATATTATAATAATATAACTTTTTGCCAACCTCAACAAAAACCATCAAATATAGATTAATTATATTAAGTGGTGAATAAATTCAACATTTATGAGTAGTATTATATTTGCTCAAATACGACTTTGTAATTCTTTAATTCTTACCCCTTTTTTTTTTTCTTTTTTTTTCTTACAACCAATTCATTGATTCCACGTATCTGTTTGGGCTATCCAGCACAAAGGTTTGTTTTCCTCCTTCGGCCTTGGGCCACAACATCATGCTTGAGCCGTATCAGCATCAGGGGTAGGAAACTGAGTATTTGTTTGGTCTATAACAATAGGGTATGATATAATAATATAACTTTTTGCCAACCTCAACAAAAACCATCAAATATAGATTAATTATATTAAGTGGTGAATAAATTCAACATTTATGAGTAGTATTATATTTGCTCAAATACGACTTTGTAATTCTTTAATTCTTACCCCTTTTTTTTTTTCTTTTTTTTTCTTACAACCAATTCATTGATTCCACGTATCTGTTTGGGCTATCCAGCACAAAGGTTTGTTTTCCTCCTTCGCCCTTGGGCCACAACATCATGCTTGAGCCGTATCAGCATCAGGGGTAGGAAACTGAGTATTTGTTTGGTCAATAACAATAGGGTATGAAAAATACTACACATACTCAAGCCAATTCATTTTCCCAAATATTAATGCAACAAAAAAAAACATGTCAATGATAGATGGAATGAGAAACCAATCCTTTTGGGAGTGACTTATAAACTTAGAACATGAAAAATACTGCACATATTCATCAATCCACTTGACGTCTCACTTGTCTTCTTCAAAATTCATTGACTAATTGCATATATAAAAAATACGTCGTACAATAATTAGACATGAAAAGTGAATAACAACATTTTTGAAGAAGTTATGGATAACATGCATCTCAACAGACATATCTCAACTTTTTTACCTAAATGACCAGATTTATCGACTCTTAGGACAATCCACCTATAAATTAGTCAAACAAGAAGGGAGAGTTTGAGATGTTGCTCTTCTTTAAGTAAACGAAGCAAGGAAATTATCGTTGGCAATAAAAAAATAATGAATAAATTACAGGTAAAGAGTGTAATGATGATTTTTTTTTTAATACAAGCGATAAAAAAAAAAAGGAATATTCAAACACAATAATACATAATGTGCACGATAACTAAATTTCTTAATTACTTAAACTACAAGTCTCTTACTTGAGTGCATAATAATAATAAAAAAAATTTGAGTGACAATCACAACTCCAAAAGTAATTTTATTTTAAAAACTTGAAAAATAAAAAGTAGAAAATAGTAAAGGTAAAATGTGGATGTGAGTGGTAATTTAGAGGATGTAATGTAAATAGAATTGAGAATCGTCGCTCTCCAAATGCCATATTAAGACACGGCAGCAAGGGGGAAATTCTACTCTATATTACCAAAATTAGAAAATTAGACCACTGGAAAAAGCCAACTCACACTCTTCTTCACACTCGAGCCTCCCGAACCGGTGTGGCGCTCTCACCCTCCAAAATCCAAAATCCTCGACTCAAATTTCCAAAATTCTGAAAATTTTCAAATTCCCTCTCTTTTGATTTCAATTCTCAATCTGATATAAATCTCCATGAGCCAAGCCAGCCGAATCTCCCAAGCTCAGCTTTAGTATTGTTGTGTTGAGCTCGGCGCCTAGGGCAGCAGCTGAAGCATGACTGATAAGCCCCCAGAGGCAGCTCCGCCGTCGTCGCCGCCGTTAAAGCCGCTCTCGCTCCAAGACTGGGAGTCATTGATTGACGACTTCCAGCACGGCGGCGCACGGCAACACAAATGGACCTCCGCGCACCCAATCCGCCTCTCCCTCCTCGACCAAGCCCTCTCCTCTCTCGCCAGGCGCGACTTTCCCCTCAAGCTCCACGTCATCACCTTCCTCGAAGAGTTCTGCGACGCGCTCTTCACCACCGCCAGCTCCGGAACCGACTTCGTTTCGCTGCGCAAAGTCCTCCACCGTCTGATTGAAACCCTACGCGCCCTGATCCAGACCCCGCCCGATGGGGTCCACATCACCTTCGCGCTCAAGGAGCAAATGATGCTCTCCGTCACCTCCATCGTCGTCTCCCTCGACGACGATGACGGCGTCGTTCCAATCGCCGCCGTCGAGGGCTTGGTGGAGCTTCTGTTAACGGTGATCAACCGTCCCAATCACGGCATCGACCGTCAGGCGCGTGCGCTCGCGTGTGAGTGCCTGCGCGAGTTGGAGAAATCTCGCCCCTGCTTGCTCTCCGAAATCGGCGGACATCTATGGAGTCTCTCCCAGAACGAGAGAACTCACGCTGCGCAGAGCTACATTCTCTTGTTCACCACCGTCGTTCACAACATCGTCGTTAGAAATCTCGGCGTTTCGATTCTCAATACGACGGTGCCTCTCGTGCCATTTAGTGCGCCGCAGAATGGGACGGGTCCGGGCGGGTTGAATCACAAGGAGCTGAGGAGGGCGATGGCGTTTTTGCTAGAGTGGCCGCACGTGTTGACGCCGTGTGCGATGGTTGAGTTCTTGGCTTTGATAATGCCAATCGCGGCGGCATTGGATCTCCAAGCCTCCATGCTTAAGGTGCAATTTTTTGGGATGGTTTATTCGTCCGATCCTATGCTCGCCCATGTCGTTTTGACCATGTACCCGAGGTTCTGGGACGCGTTTGATGGGCAAGAAGGTGACATTGTAAGCAGGCTTGTGTTACTATCCAGAGAATCGCAGCACCACTTGGTTTTTCGATTGCTGGCAGTGCATTGGTTGTTGGGTTTTGGTCAGTTGGTGTTGAAAAGGGAGGCCAAGAAAGTGAAGACCATTGTTGATATGGGTTCGAGATTCTATCCGAGTGTGTTCGATCCGCTTGCTTTGAAAGCGATGAAGCTTGACCTGCTTGCCTTTTGCTCTATTTGTGCTGATGTCTTGAAATCAGACACTGTTTTGGTTGAGAATGGTGGGGTGAAGGATAAGTTGGTGGTGAAGCTGTTCGAAGATGGACTTGTTTGTGTATCAGCATTCAAATGGTTACCTCCGGGGAGCACTGAGACTGCAGTGGCATTTCGAACTTTGAATAGGTTTTTGATTGGGGCATCATCTCATTCAGACAATGATCCTTCCACCACTAGAAGTCTGATGGACTCCACCACTTTCAGTACCATACAGGTAGTTTTCTCTCTTCCTCAGTTTCCTTGCATATGTTCTACTGTAATAAAAAGACATTATATGTGAAATTTGCTATTTATAGTCGAAGATGTTTGTAGGATTTGGATAATATATTAGCTCTACCCTGAGCTTTGAGTTTGAATTGGAGTGAATTAAAAATCTCAGAAGAATCCATCTTGCTCCTTTGTTCTGCTTATGGATTAGTTGATGTGTTTGGATTCGTCTCAGTGCTTGTATGTGCATATATTGTTTATGAGGAGTACAAGGTGGACCAAATTATTGATATAAGCTGATGTGATGTGTTTTATGTTTAGCAACTAAGAAATTGCCAGGTCATCTACCACAGTAGTTGACGTCTAAAATTTGGGAGAACTGTTGATGCTTCTAATAGTATTAATTGTTTATATATTGACTGTAGTTGCACTGAAATTTTTAAATCTCAACTGTGCAATTGCTTTAGTGATCTTTAATTCAGAGGAGAAGTGAGAAAGGTGAGTTAACCTTTATACCTGTGCCATTTTTAATATCTCCAAATTTCTGTTTCCAGGGGATGCTGGTGGACCTGATGTTGGAGTGTCGGAGATTAGTTCCAGTGGTAGTTGCTTTGACTGATCGCTTGTTGGGTTGTCAAAAGCACCGTTGGTTGGGAGAACGCCTGCTTCAGACATTTGATCAGCATTTGCTTCCAAAAGTGAAATTCGATTACAACTTGGTTTCCTTCTTTCCAATATTTGATAGAATTGCCGAAAGTGATACAATTCCTCCTCAAGGATTGCTAGAGCTTCTTATTAAGTTCATGGCCTTCCTTGTTGGCAAACATGGCCCACATACGGGACTGAGATCATGGTCTCAGGGAAGCAGAGTTCTTGGTATCTGTCGAACATTGCTGATGCATCACAATAGCTCTCGATTGTTCCTTAGACTATCTCGCCTTTTGGCATTTACTTGCCTTTACTTT